TCTACAATGTAACAGAGCCATATTTTAAAAATATTTATTAACATTGATGACTTTCATGTTGTTTTGTCATAAATTCCAAATAACTATCAATACATAAAAATTTAAAAAAATTATATTAAACAAAAAAAATAGCATTGTTACGTTGTAGATAAGGTTCTTAAAGATTAAAAACACTTTCAATTTTTTTTTGTAGCTATGTTGCTTCCAAAGTTATAAACGTTTTAAGTTTCTGACTGTTAAAATCCATTTTAATTTTTATTAAAGAAAATCGCTTTTCATGAAAACAGTTATAACTCATCATACAGACAAGAATTTTTTAATTCTGAAAAATGTTTTGAGCTCGCAAATCATGTCTCTACAATGTAACAGAGCCATATTTTAAAAATATTTATTAACATTGATGTACTTTCATGTTGTTTTGTCATAAATTCTAAATAACTGTCAATACATATAAATTTAAAAAAAAACATATTAAACAAAAAAATAGCGTTTGTTTTAGACAAGGTTCTTTGAAATTAAAAACACCTTCAAATTTTTTTGTGGCTATTTTGCTTCCAAAGTTATATTTATGTAGCACAAACTCTTTATTATACTTGCGAAAATAACGACGGTGACAAAAAATTGCATATCTCAGCAAATAGGTGAAAGTGGGCTCGCAGGATTGCAAAGCATAATTAGATAGGTTTAGATTCATTTGAAATAAAAAAATTTTATATTGCCAATTTTTTTAAAGCCATTTCACTTCTTTTTTTTAAACCTTCACAAAATTTTTGACTTCAAATTTTGACGTGAAATTTTTTAACAATTATTCCAACGCAAAAATGTACATAATAATTATGCTACAAAATATGTCAGATTATAGTTTGAGTTTGAAGATTTCGCATATAAAATTACATGCTTCTATATTTTCTATAACTTTGTCAATTAAAAATAAAAGAAATCCGATTATTTTTGAAAAAATGTATATAAAACCTATTTTTCCTTGATGAATGAACGTTGTCAGGCCAGTAATGTAATTAGCGTGAAACCAGGACTCAATATTCGTGTAATACGTGCTTATAGATGCTAGAGATAGATGGCAAATTAAAAAAATACAAGATTTTAGCATAATAAACATAAATGAAATATTATGTAAATTTCCGGTATGATAACTAATTAAAAAACCGGGGTGATAACTAATTGAAAAACCGGGGTGATAACTAATTGAAAAACCGGGATGTTATTGATAATATTGATAATAACCATAAGAATATACATAGTC